CTCGAGTTGACTCGCCCTGATCTGGAGAAGCTAAAGCAATGGGTTGCGAAGAAGAAGAAGCAGCCGGGGATTCACRTGTCTTCGTTTGTGGTGACGACTGCTTACCTCAGCGTCTGCACAGCCAAGATGAAGGGCTCATCAGCGGATAAAATTGGAATGATATTCGCCATGGATGCGAGGGCTCGTTTGGAGCCTCCCGTGCCGCCCAATTACTTTGGGAATTGTTTGGTTGCTCGTCCCAAATTCCTGGAAAGATTTGAGCTTTCGGGTGAAAACGGAATGGTTTGTGCTGTGGAGGCAATTTGGGAGGCCATAAAAAGCGTGGAAGAGGAAGGAGCTTTGAAGGGGGCSGAGAATTTGGGKATGGTTATAAAATCGGCAGTAACTGATGATGAGACGCCGCTTGTTTCCATTGGTGGGTCGCCCAGGTTTGGAGTTTACGGCACTGATTTCGGGTGGGGAAAGCCGAGGAAGGTGGAGATGGTGTCCATTGAGATCACGAGAGCATTCTCTCTCGCAGAAACTGGAAGTGGCGATGGCGGAATAGAGATTGGGTTCGTCAGGGAAACAAATGAAGTCCAAAGTTTTGTTGCTCTATTTGCTGAAGGTCTTACATCTCTTTGAAACCACCTGTTCTTTTGTGCTTGTCACCATGCAATCTTCACGAGACGCTGATCAGACATATCTACTAAAAAAAATAAGTTAATTTAGCACTATGTGATAGATAAATGGAAAAACTAAACAATTAGGTCAAAGATAGGGTGGCACGTTGTCCCAAAAGGATTCGTTAGAGGACATAAAATAATGTTAAATAAATTAAACTTTGTTTKTTTAGCACAASAAATATGACCGTAAAGATTTAACTTTTGGCTTTCAATGAAGAAGCAAAATGATTTAACTATTGTGCTAGGTTSGTATTAACAAATAAACTAAAGTTGGTTCGGTAAGAATGTTAATTATTATTATTATTAGGTTAAAAAACAAATTTGGTTCAATTTTCATTTAAGTAACGATGTAGTGATRTAGTGCCAACTYCCAAATTTTGAAAGTTMAAARTACCAAATRTGTTTTTTCAYCTTCTTATTATTGTTTAGAAAATAAATGAGTTTCATTAAGGACTTGCCTCCACAGCTAAAAAAAGATGGCCTATTTTCTTGCACTTTCCTTTGGAAAGCCACAATAAATCCTCATTTAACAATATCCCTCCAGGAGTCATGAAATTTTGATTCTTTTGCCAAATAATGTAGATAAGAAATAAACGAGATAAACGTAGAAAAATCATGAATGTCCTCGATACATATGTGGACTTCGTAATTCCATTCCATCACACCATTAAGGAGAGAAATTTATATATGAGAATCTGATTCAACCACGACCCTCCGAAAATGCAATCTCACCCTCACGAATGRCTGAAGTTTCAGCTAACAGAGGAGAAGATGCCCGTTGTGACATCATCTGGACCGCGATGAGAGTATTTTGAAAATATCCGATCGAGACTCCCATAATAGAGAAGTTTTTATTAAATGAGCACCATGGAATTTTTATTAATTAAACCTACATATTTGAAGTTTATTAATTGTTAATGGGTAATATGAAGTTGAAGATACTAAATTATGTAGGCCACACTATCACATCCGTTCCATTAATAGAGAAGAGAAAGAGAGAAAAATAGAGAAGAGAGAAGGAGACAGACATACATTTTTAACGAAATTTTATTATATGGAATCTATAAGAGCCTCGAGTTTAGGTTACAATCCAACAAATACACATCAATAATAATTAAATTATCTACTCTACGAAAACATTGAAAAAAAAAAAAAGAAGAACAGGGGAGGGGGTTAACAAAGAGGGTCAAAATGGGGAAAAGATCAAATACCACAGAAGAGAGAAAAAAATAACGAAAATAGGAGGGAAAGAAAGAAAAGAGACAAAAGAAGAAATCACCATGGGAAAACTAACAAAGGTGTCGCTGCAACTCTACAAACGCATTTAATAAATTTGACATTTATTTATTTATTGTATTAACTTATTAAAGTCAGTTGAATGGTTAAAAATTACGTTTTCAATTGGTCGGAAATTATGTTATGCAAGCCCAAATGGTGGCAATGAACCAGATGTTAAAGCAGCTGATAATGGAGAAGGAAACCAAAACGCCGCTTCGGCGATGCTTGAACCTTCTCCTGTTTTACAAATTTCATATATATATTGTGTCTATTGTGGTGATAACCACTTGTATGAGAATTGTCGAGCTAATCCAACATCTATTTTCTATATAGGTCAAGGCGTCTGGAGGAACTTCAATCCATATTCCAACACCTACAATCTTGGATGGAGGCATCATCCAAACTTTTCTTGGAGTAACCAAGGATGAGCTAATAGCGGCGAGCAAGAACCCGCTCAACAATTCAAACAAAATTACACTCCTCCTAGTTTTCCAACTCAGTTGGTGTTGCAGCCTCAACAATACAATCGACAAAGAGCTCAAAATAACACTAGTAGTTATGCAAGTTTGGAGGCCATGATGAAAGAATTCATGGCAAGAAGTGAAGCTACAAAAAAGAGTTCATGACAAGAACCGATGCTGCGATAAGAAACTTGGAGATGCAAGTGGGGYAGATGAAAAATGACCAAAAATSTAAACCTCAAGGTACATTGCCTGGACACACGGAAAATCCTAAACGAGAAGGAAAAGAGCAATGTAAGGCAATCATGACAAGAAGCGGACTGAGTTAAGAAGGACCTTCACTTCYAGCTGAAGGAGACGATGTAACTACACCTATTGCAATATCCACTMTACCACCAGAAAAGAAGGAAGAACCAGTAAGTAACAAATGAGAAAGGCAAAGGTAAGCATGTAGTACCTTGCACTACTCCACAAGTAGGTAATATTAAGATTCCTCCACCTTTTCTCCAAAATCTAGTTAAAAAGAATCAAGATARTCATTTTAAGAAGCTCTTTGAGATTCTAAAACTATTGCATATAAATATACCTTTCATAGATGCTTTGGAATAAATGCCTAACTACACCAAGTTTTTAAAAGACATCATATCTAGGCATAAGAAATTAGGTGAGCATGAGACGGTAGCCTTAACAAAGTGTAGTAGTGATGCTTTAGGGAATCCATTGYCTGTTAAATGTAAGGACCCAGGTAGTTTCACTATTCCTTCCTCAATAGGAGGTAARAACCTAGGAAGAGCATTGTGTGACTTAGGASCAAGTATTAATCTTATGCCTMTTTCTGTCTTTAAAKAGTTAGATATAGGAGAAGCTCATCCCACTACTGTCACTTTACACCTARCCGATAGRTCTATTAAGAAACCGGAAGGGAAAATAGAGGATGTCCTTGTTGAACTGGATAAATTTATCTTTTTCGYCGATTTTATAATTTTGGATTGTGAAGTACATCTTGAGGTGCCGATCATTCTTGGAAGGCCATTTTTAGCAACTAGAGATACGATATTCAATGTTAGGAAATGAAAGATCACGATGAAGGTCAATGATGASCAGGTAACCTTCAATGTCCTTGATGCGATACGTCTCCCAGATGAAGTCGAKGAGTGCTCTACAATAGGGGCAATTATGGAGGAACTCCAGCAAATGATGGTGGAAGACTTAGAAGCAGATTTGGAGGCCGCAGAAAAAGAAGCTAAAATTGCGCYTGGCGCAATTTTGTCAYAATTTGAGCRTTTTRAGCTTTTGYAGCTGACAATAACGGATTTGAAAGTCATGCAACCTTCCATCATTGAACCTCCAGAATTGGAGAAGAAGCCCCTACCTTCTGATTTAAAATATGAATATTTGGGTTTAAATGATACTTTGTCGGTTATCATTTCTTCTTACTTAACKAATGAACATGAATCTTTGCTTTTGCAGGTTTTGACTAAGTATAAGAGGGCWATTGGATGGACCATATGTAACGACCCAGAATTTTCCGCACACCTCTAGGTCACATTAACTACCCAACTAATTAAACTTAACCCTGACTACATCCGRCCAACTTCCTATGCAAACAAACATATAAAATCAAGTTCCAATCCTCATCAATTTAACGATAAATCAATCTCATAGAATAACATTCAACAACATTCGTGAACCAYTTCACGAGGCAAGTTTATTATTCAATCTATATGAATCTAAATAAATGGAATAAAACTCAAATAGGCACCTATCCCGAAGTGAAACTAACAACAAGGGAAAAAATCTCTCAATTATTCAAATACGAATAAACCGTTTATTGGCCATAACATAAGGCCTTAACCAATGACTTAAACTAAACAGGAGTAACTAAGCAGTCTATGGTCCTCGCTCGTCATGTCTCCTCCGTCCCATCACCATGGTCACCCACGAGTCCTTCACCTGAAACAATCATTGTMGAGAGGGGKGGTGAGTATATAAAATATACTCYGTAAGTAGCCCTCACCAACACAAACACAYGTCATGCTCAACTATATCAAAAAACATTCGTAATCGTGYTTTTCAATACATTAYGCATTTAAACATATACACATTTCGTAACATATTAGTGAGAACCACAACCAGGTAACATGTTAACAACCAACCACCAGTCTCCCTAACATTACCAGTACCTYTATGCTTATCACAGTTATCCTACCCTTCCACARCTATCCCCTTCCAGTAGAGTCGGCCCCTGACCATTTATACMCAGAGCCCCGACCCTGCAGCATCGGCCCTCGACCATTTATACCCGAGGCCCCGATGACTTCACCATCTATTGGCCCTTGACCATTTGTACCCAAGGCCCCAATAGTCTTTCCTCCAAAAGACTCCTCGTATCGACCTTCGACCATTCATACCCGAGGCCTCGATACTCCGTTAGTGACGTATCAGCCCCCGACCATTTATACCCGAGGCCCTGACACTCACTCCTTCACTCCACTAGTGGCGTATC